GAAATCATTCTAATATGCTGCTTTGCTGCTCAAGAAACATTTATTATTTATTAGTAATGTTGAAAACAGTTGTGCTGCTTAACATTTTTGTGGAAATAATTATTTGCAGGATTATTTGATGAATAGAGAACAGCATTTTTTGTGAACAGAAATCTTTTGTAACATTAAAAATGTCTTTACTCTCACTTTTGATCACTTTTATGCATCCCTGCTGAATAAAAGTATTCATTAATTAGTAATGTTGAAAACAGTTGTGCTGCTTAACATTATTTGCTGAATAGAGAACAGCATTTTTTGTGAACAGAAATCTTTTGTAACATTAAAAATGTCTTTACTGTCACTTTTGATCACTTTTATGCATCCCTGCTGAATAAAAGTATTCATTAAAAAAAAAGAAAAAAAAAGTACTGACCCCAAACTTTTGAACAGTAGCATAATACTAATGAGATCAGGTTGGCAAGCCCTACTGTAGCCTCAAGGTAAGACTCATTTAAGTTCAGATTAAGTTGCTGAATCAGTGGAGTGTAACTCATGACTTTATGATATGAAATACAGGAGCAGAGTCTGTAAAAATGGATGAAGTTGACTGAAAGTTTAATCCTCACAGTGTGATAATGATGCTCAAGCAAAAGTTTTAATACACCCACCAACTGCAGAACTGTTCTCATGGATTAACTAAAAGCAGTAATCCAATGAAGTGGCTCTGCAAATATTGAATTAGTCTGGATCTTGTCTCCAAGTTATTATACGGTTGGCTTGATTTCCCAGTAGGCTTTTCATCTTTATTGATTTAGTTCTATTGCTGTTTCGTGGAGATTATCTATTGATGATCTTAATCTATTCAGCGTCTATAATTTAAATACGTCCGTTCAAGTAAATTTGTTCTTACTGTACTTCTCGGATTAACAACCAGGCATGAGCCAGGCATATCAATACAGATCAGCTGGAGTTTTGTGCATAAATAAAACTTCACAAACTTATTGCATATTTTTACTAATTTATCACTCATTTATTTTGATGATTTGTTTACATTGTTAAATCCAAGTACATAGGATATACTCATCTACAACATGTTTTGTTCCATCAACAGACGATGGCTCTAATGTTGATGCTGATGATGATGATGAAGAGGAACATAGTTCAAAGACCAAGCGCTACAAGTAAGTAGGGTCGAGCCATGCAAAATATGACAGCAGATCTGAGTCTGTTTTAATTGATGAGGAGGATCTTGTATCAGATGTGTTGTATGTCACTCACCTTAATAATTGCAGCTCAACAGGAAGTCTCCGGTTTTTGGTGGGCAACATCTGCACTCACAGCTTGATGCGAATTTCTCAATCTGACACTCTTGGAGATGATTTAAATTGAACAGTTGGATGTTTGAAGTACGCCCCAATGTCTGTGTAGAGACAAGAAAACACTTTACATTTCAAGAAAAAATTGGAGAGATTGTGTTTATGTTGCTTATTTAATTTCCGACAGTTTGGATTTGTTTCTTTTTTATTTTTGTGGTTAATACTGGTTGGCTGTTATGTTTTTTTTTTTTTAATGCCCAATGAAAAAAGTAATTAAAAATTCAGTTTTAAAATCAGAAAAAAAATCATAGTCACGATTTATGTTTGTATTCAAAACTTCAAGCATTTAATCATGAGCCTTTAGATCAAACTGTTTTGAAGATCAAGAGAAACAAAGTGTGTCCAAACTTTGCAGTTTGTGATAAAAAATCATGATAGCAAAAGAGGCACAGTCAGAATTGCTGAAATGACATGAATATTTAATTTACACAATATTTACTCCATAACATTTGAAGATATTTGAAAGAGTCATCCACAGACAAGTCTTTGGTAAACAGTTCTGTTAATCAGCCAAGCATACATGTTATAATAATTTGGGAAGAATTAAAAATGAAAGAATTAGAACTTGCCATTTCTTTGTAGGTGCAGTAAGCGATTTCTGAGAAATGCTGTTGAAAGTGGACTGGAAAGAGCACCAAAACACTTCTAGCCAATCAGCAGGAAGGGGCGTGTCCACTCATGATGCCTATGTTGCATACCATGTTCATGAATTTGGGGGCGGAGCTATCAAGATAGGGGTGTGATCCTTTTGGATAGGAGTGTGTTTGTTTTTGGTGATTTCAAATATCAACAGTGTCTCTCAGAAATCTCTTAATGCACCTTTAACTGTAAAAATGCCATTTTTAATTAGTGAAAATTGTTTCTACACCAGTATTTTCCCCCACTATATTAGACAAAATATTAACATAATTACACATTAGAGCTGTTGTATTTCTATTCCTTTGAAGACTGGACCATCCTGTTGAGTGTGAAGGAAAAAACGGATCATCTCTTCGGATGGTTTTACCGTTGGAGCTCCGGATCGGCCACTTCAGAGACATGCTTCTGGAAAGAGTGTCTACACCATAAATATACAGTATATACATATCTATGGTCTACACTGGATGCGGCGTGGCACGACATGACAAATCCCCGACAGAAAACTGCAGCTGCGGTCTATTTATAACGTATTGACACAAATTTCAAATTATTTTCAACGGTCGCTTTGCAGTAACTGCTGATTGGCTACAAGTTTGTTTTGCTAATCGGCCCAAATCAGTTTTCTAAAACGTTTTTGAAAAATCGCTTACCCCAACTTTAAACTATTTTGCGCTTGAAATGGCTGCAATTATTGTTGCTAGGAGGAGTCATTGCAGAGAACAGTGTGCGCGTGGTAGAAGGGAGAGGATTTTTCCACACGTATTAATTTATGTTGAATGCCAGAAGAACACATTATCCGAACATATCGTTTGCCAAGACATGATCTTTTTAATTTGCTTCAGGAAATAAAAGACGAATTTGATCCCTCAACTAGAAGTCACGCAATACCAGGTCTATCAAAGCTTCAAGCAAACCTTCATTTTTTTGTCCACCGGTTCTTTTCAACATACTGTGGCTTTATTTCTTTATTCTTTATTTGCGACTAGTCTAATTTGCGCTGCGCTTGGTATATTGTGTTGGTTGATATGTAAATGAGATGTTGCATCTGTTTTCAAATTTCCACACCCATCAGCATGGATTTGGAATTGCGCTCTCGCGCTAATTTGCCCTCGCGCTGGAAAGCTGATCCGATATTTACACGGGTCCTACTTCTTGCCTTAAGCCTTCTTTTGTTCCGCAGACGTTTTCCTCTTTTGTTTTTTATCCACCATCTCTATCTTTCTGTCGCTCGGCTCGCTAATGTCTTTCCTGTGCACTGAACATCATGAGTAGACACGCCCCTTACTGCTGATTGGCTACAAGTTTGTTTTGCTAATCGGCCCAAATCAGTTTTCTAAAACGTTTTTGAAAAATCGCTTACCCCAACTTTAAACTATTTTGCGCTTGAAATGGCTGCAATTATTGTTGCTAGGAGGAGTCATTGCAGAGAACAGTGTGCGCGTGGTAGAAGGGAGAGGATTTTTCCACACGTATTAATTTATGTTGAATGCCAGAAGAACACATTATCCGAACATATCGTTTGCCAAGACATGATCTTTTTAATTTGCTTCAGGAAATAAAAGACGACTTTGATCCCTCAACTAGAAGTCACGCAATACCAGGTCTATCAAAGCTTCAAGCAAACCTTCATTTTTTTGTCCACCGGTTCTTTTCAACATACTGTGGCTTTATTTCTTTATTCTTTATTTGCGACTAGTCTAATTTGCGCTGCGCTTGGTATATTGTGTTGGTTGATATGTAAATGAGATGTTGCATCTGTTTTCAAATTTCCACACCCATCAGCATGGATTTGGAATTGCGCTCTCGCGCTAATTTGCCCTCCTTAGTAAAACTGGCCCCAAATGTCTTCCATCAAGGTAACTGTGTACTGTACAGACCAATTTGGAGTAGACGTCACAGTTACGTCTTTTGCAGCTACGCGCGCATTGTGGTGGCAGAAAAACACTGGTAACAAATGGAGGGAAACGGGTAAAATCCATGGAGTAAGAGAAACAATTTATTGTTGTGCCTTTGGATGTCAGAATCAGAATCCAAATACTTTTTATATAATAATGTTGTCAAAGACGCCATTTGAAGCTAAACACAGACGTTTAAACGGACAGACTGGATGAAACCTGCTATGATTACCCTATTTTAAAGCATACATTAGATTTGAAAAATAGATCTATATAATATTCACATTGGATACATATTGTATTAGCCCTACAGTTAAAGCATGAAATACTATTTAAACCTATAACATTTTACGTAACATTTACCTATTTTCTCTCACAATTCTGACTTTTTTTTTCTTGCAAATGCAAGTTTATCTCCTAGTTCGAACTTTATAACTTAATTCAACTCAACAATTGCGAGTTTGTCAATTCTGAGGAAAAAAACCCAGAAGTGTGGGATTATAAACTCATGATTCTGAGCCGAGGGAAAAAGAGAGAATGAGTTGATTTTTCTTACCATAATTGTGAGATATAATCTCAGAATTTAAAAAAAAAAGTCAGACTTTTTCAAAATAAACTCAAAATTACCTTTTTTATTATTTTATTCCATGGCTTGCATAGACTGCTATGTTAAAACTGGCATTTTCTGCCACCAGATAGGCGCAGCCCACAAAAACGTCATCACTGTTTGCAAACACTGAAATTGGTCTGTAACACATCATTGAGGATGATTTATTCATCAAAATGAATTATATATTACATATATTTTTTTATATATTTGGAATAAATATTACAATTAGAAATATCTTAAACATTAATTTAAAATGTTATTAATTAATTTATATTATAGATATTATTTTTTATAATATAATAATTTATTTTAATTTAATTTTATTTATTTTTCCCCCTTAGATTTATGATCAGTTTGTCAAAGCAAGAATGAACGAGGAGCACAAAGAGAAAAAGTGCAAACTCCAGCAAGCGAAAGAAGAGTACAGAAAACTGCTAGAGGAATCAAAAATCACATCCAGGTGAGCTTATGAAATAAGGGTGACTGCTTTTGCTGATGCATTAATAAAATCCATCTCTAGAGTGGATTATTTATTCAGCAAAGGTGTTAATAACTGATGGTCTTTGCAGTTTGGGTCCTGGTTTCTTTGTGTTTGTGTATTTGAAGATAACCTTGTTTCTTGTTAAAGGTCTTGCACAGAAGTGAATTCAAACATGCCACATGGATTAACACTCAGCTTGAAGTTTCCTCTTTGTTCTTTACCCGATTAATTTATAGTGAAAGGAACTGAAGAGACGTGAATTGATGCACTAATATTAACAGCCTATAGTATCAGTTGCTAGTGCGCCTCGTGAGATCAGGGGATAAAGTTTACCTGCACAGCTCTTACTAGCTGGTCTTCGTTATACTCACCCCTTTATATCTGGGCCACAACACCAATGTAACCCACCCATTTGGTCTGAGCTGGACTCCAACTTGCATTTTTTTGGCATGAGAGGTGGGCGTGCTAACAAGGACACTAAAGACCATAGCCTCTAGCATCAGTCCCTAGTGTGCCTCGTGAGAACAGGGGGTGAAGTTTACCTGCACAGCTCTTACTAGCTGGCCTTCATATACTCACCTCTTTATATCCGGGTCACGGCACCAGTGTAACCCACCCGTTCGCTCCGAGCGGGACTCGGACCTGCATTTCCAGCATGGGAGGCAGGCACACTAACAAGGACATTAGAGACCGCATCCTCTAGCATCAGTTGCTAGTGCGCCTCTTGAGATCTAACAAGGACACTAAAGAACGCAGCCTCTAATGTCAGTCACTAGTGTACCCCTTGAGATCAGGGGAGTAAGGTTCACCTGCACAGTTCTTACTAATTGGCCTCCGCTACATTCCCTTTCGAAGTTTATTCAAGTGTGCTTGAATAAATGTGAAACTAAAAATATTAAAGTATACTTTCAGTCTACTTTTTATGTACTTCTCAGAAATGTACTTGCAGTATAAAACTACTAAAGAAGTAGTTTACAGAGACTATACTTCAACGTGTACTAAAAATGCTACAAGTATTTAATTAGTAAACTATCAATTACTTATAAGTTCACTTTTAGTATAGTTGCAGTACAAACTAAAAACATAGAGGTAAACTAGTTGTGAACTCAAAGTTTGCTACTGTCATACTTAAGGTACACTTAAAAGTGTACGTATATACTAGAAAGTGGGCCAATTTAGTCCCAAGGAGTATTGAAATAGTACAATTACAAGAATACTACTAGTACACTGATATTTCTATACTTACTACATAAAGTATACTTAAAATATTCTTGAAATTTACTTAAGTATACTTAATAAAATAAACGTGAAGTATACTTCTTTTTGGTAAGGGTTAGCATGCTCTCATTGCAAGTTCTCACAAGGAAACAAAACTTGAGTGATCTTTTTTCTAGTCAGGTTTTTGAAAACCCCTAACGCTAATGTTAAACTTGCATTACCCTTAACCCTAACGCTAGCAACTTGACTTGCCCCAGTAAACAACCTCTCAGAACACCCTTGCAAATCCCTGACAACCAGCCAGAACACCAAAGCTATGTGCTTAGAACAACCTGGAAAAATCATAGCAAAATTCTAGCAACCAGTTTGCAATCCCCAAGAAAAAAGATTTTAGTAAAGATTTCAGGCGATAATAAATGCATCAAAATGAGGGATGTTTCTTTGTGATTTTGTGCTTTGCTGCTTTAGTGCTCTGGGCAGGGTGTTTTCACCTGTACTTCAGACTGAAGACCAGCAGGATCTCCTCTATAGAGAAGGCTTTCAAAGTCTAGCCATGAAAACAACCGCAATCAGACCTTTTACAGCTGAACAAAAGTGGACCATCACACTGATGATGTAAAACATCAGATGACTGTCAAGGATCTCATTCTGATGTTCTCTTTTTCGTAGGTCGACGTTCAAAGAATTTTCAGAAAAGTACGGAAAAGATCCACGATTCAAAGAGGTTCTGAAGAGGAAAGACCAGGAGTTATTTTTCACCCAGTTCATCAGCACGTTAAAGAAGCGGGACAAGGAGAACAGAGTTCGTCTGAGGAAGATGAGATGAGTGTTTGCAGACAGGGCCGCAAACTATTCACAGTGCTGTCAACTGATTTCCTGTGACTGTTTATCACAGTGTATACAGTGATACCATCTGCCCATATGTCTGACCAAACCACAAGGGCAGTTTGCTTTTCAATGACTGACTTGCAAACAAACCGAACAAAGGCAGAACCAGCTGAGTCTAAGCAGCAGTTTGGAAAGAACTCTGTATTTCTGAATCTGTTTCATACTGAAGCTCTTAATCTCCGGTTTGAGTATTACGAGGTTCCTAAATCGCAACGCTGAAAACGAATACAGAGTTTGACTCGCTGGAAGTATCTAAAGCCATTGACCTGTGCACACAGGCGGAAAATGATTTTTTATATTAATTGTACATAAGTGTTGACTTACCTGGCACTGTGCTAAAAGTGACCGTAGAAGTGAAACCTTTTTGTTAGACTGTGACATATTCTCCACAGCATCTGTGAGAATCGGTAAGTAGTGTTGTGTATCAATAGAATTTTTCAAATGCTGTCTAAAGATTTGTTGTAATTACATTTGTCATGATATCGTAACAAATTAAAGTGATAATTTTTACAGAAAATTCATGTACAGTTCTGTGAAGTGTTGTAATACTTCACCCAAAATGAAAATTTGCTAACCTTCAGGTCATCCCAGATGTACCGTAGATTAGTTTCTTCATCCAAACAATGGGTCCTCTGAAGTGAATGGGTGCCGTCAGAATGAGAGCTCAAACGGCTGATAAAACATCACAATAATCCTCTAGTAATGCTCAATTTCTCCAAATCTGTTTTGATGAAACTCATCTACATGTTGGATGGCCTGAGGGTGAATACATTTTCATTTCATTTTTGGGTGAACTATATCTTTAAATCAGAGCAAGTGGATTCTGTTTACAGTAAATGAGAAATTTAATTGAAAGGACTGTTTCGACGTGTTTGGCTGCATTCAATTCATGTAGCTATTTGTAAGTATGAATAAATTAATTATTTTATTTGATCTATTATGGTTGAAATGCAATTTTACATTTTTCTGTCAGCTTTTATACACACCAAAAAAAGAACATATACAGGGCTCAACAATATAGTTTCCCCCAAAAGTTTCCAGTTATTTCACTGCATTGATCTTAAATATAAAACCATTAACAATGATTTTACTTGCAAAATAAGATGTGACCTTTTTATCTATTACTTTTTTATCTTCTAAATATTAAATTCAAGTCAGAATTCTAAATTTAAGATCAATTGTGAGATATAAAAAGGTCAAAAGTGGAAGATATAAACTAACAATTCTGAGAGAAAAAAGGCAGAATTGCAAGATGTTAACATTCAATCATAATTTTCAGTATTTAGAAGACACATCTAAGAACATTGCAAAGTCTTTATCAGTTTCAGCAAATCCCTTATTTTAGCAAGAGAGATAGCACTGGCTATACTGAATGAAAAATAATGTTCAAAACATCCAAGATATTTCAAATGTATGAAAACACATGATTTTTGGATGTGAAGTGGTGACAGCAGAGCATCGACCCAAAAAGGAAAGTGACCTTTATGAAACTTTCCAACTCTGACCCCGGGCCATGATCCTTGTTGTTGAGCCTTGTTTTTGTTACCATGTAACAAGTATGTATGTTATCATGTTGACATTTTTCACAGTGTTAAATTATTTTTTTTATTTAATTTTAAATTATTTTTGTCATTTTTACTGTAATACCTCAGTTAAGAGCTATCAATCTGCAAACATTTTATTTACAATTATTTTTTGTTGATATTCAAATAAAAGTCGTATTGTGGAAGAGTAAATAAAAAAGTGATTTTCAAATAAACAGATTTCTGATTATACATGTAATAAATGACTCTAGCAAACAGTCACACAATCTTCCAGGCCATAGAAAACATTAGCAGTTCCTTCATTAACTTTGACACGCCAGAAGAAATGCAGACTTAATGTTCAATTTCATTTGTGTTCATAGATGTTTCAGACAAAATTAGAATTTGATGTGACTAATTAAATTTTGATGATAAATATTTGTTACAGTGCACACGTTTGTTACATTAACACAAACTATTTCTCAGGCATCAAATTTAAAACATGATCACTCTTTTGCATACAGACTTTGAGTGACTTTTCTTGTTTGGATTGCCATCTTCATACTGTTTTTGGAAAGGACATTGGGCGTCTTCTGTGAAGCACTTTGGTTTAATGTTGTGGCCTGTTTTCAGCTGTATTGCTTGCAAACACAACAACAAAGCTCAAATAACCAACAACAAAGACTGTTTCATCAGCAGCACCCTTATTATTTTAACACCAGAGACAATAAGACAAAAATAGGCTGAATATTTAATGAACATGTACTAGGGCTGAAAATAAACTTGCATTTTTTAGCCATAGCCCAGTAATTTTTTTGAAACCCTTTTTACAGTCATGCACTAGAGATGCTGGAGAGACATCTTCATATATTTAGTCATTGTTCAGTCTGTTTTGGATAGATGGGGTCAAGGGAATCAAGAGACCAATGATGTCTGCAGCTGTCCAGATCCACAAAAATGGGAACCAACAGCCAGCAGGGTACAAGTCATGACATTTAACAGTGAATTTGTCACAATACACTGGAGCAAGGGAATGATGGAGATGATGAGCCAGGGCGACGGGGAGGATCCGGAGGTCCTAGGTGGAGCAGATGGTGCTGGCGACCGATGCGAAGGTGTGCAACAGAGGACTGAGGAGGAGCCGAGGGGATGAAGGGGCCTGACGGAGCCGGAGAGACGAAGGGACGAGGCGAAGCTAGAGTGGAGTCCCGAGGTGCAGGATGGTCAACGCCAGACCAAGGCGGAGCCGGAGGGACGAGGGAGCCCGGTGGAGCTAGTGGACTACCGGGCCACGGCGGAGAGGAGGGAGCTAGGAGCCATGGTGGAGCCGACGGGTCTGGGACTTAGAGGCTGGAGGCAGAGTCAAGGGAAACTCCAGCCACGGTGATGCTGGAGGATGGCAGTCCCTCGGAGCTCGCACCGCATACACTCTTAAAAATAAAGGTGCTTCACGATGCCATAGAAGAACCTTTTTGTCTAAATGGTTCCAGAAAGAACCTTTAACATCTGAAGAACCTTTCTGTTTTACAAAAGGTTATTTGTGAAATAAGGATAAGGATAACCATATAAGGAACGGAGATCCATTTCTCGCCAGTGTCCACTCCACAAAGGTGGCGAAATTCGCTCGAGGTCCATCTTCGGACGACAGCGCTCTGCACGAGATGTTCAAACTGGCATCGTAGAACGCACAGAGCACGTCGTCCAGGTAGCTGGTTAGAGCAGCGATGACCAGGAACAGTCTGGTATGGCCCTCGAGCGATCTCTCCCCCTGCTCCAGCAGGAGAAGGAGGTATTCCGGACGGGAGAGGGGACCCATAGAAACAACAGAAACCAAAAACGAAAACAAAAATGGAGGGAACACACGAAGGATAACTGTATTTGGTCAGGTCTTCTGTCACAATACGTTGGAGCAAGGGAACGAGGAAACGAGGAGACGTGGAGATTTCACAAAACCAGAGTCTTTATCCAGCATGGAGACACACAACACAAGGATGACGTTCACAACAAGTAGACCCAATGAAGAACTAAGGAACAGACAGGAACTAATATACGCAGGATAATAAGGAACTCAGGTGCAAGGAATCATAAGGCAATCAAACTAAACAAAAACAGGAAAAAGACCATATAAGGAAACACAGGAAGAACTACGGGAGCAAAAGGGGTCCAAAAGTCTGACAGAATTAGAGTGGACACATGTTGAAAAACAGTTATATGGATATTTACCCAGAAATGAAAATGAATTAAAAACTGTATGACTTCAGAAGACTTCAATGAACTTGGATTTGTATGGACTACTTTTATGGTGCACTTTGTCAGTGTCACAGTCATGGTGAAAAAATATTTTGATGATTCTTAAGAAACCACTGCTAATGTGTTCCACAGAATAAATTACAGCAAAATGAGGATGAGTATATAGTGATGGTAATTACATTTTGGGGTCAACTGTTAATATAGGCTCATTACTAACCTGAAAGAAAACCGCAATGACATACATTTTGTTGCAGCTTTAATCAAAGTTTGAAGGAAGAAACAACACTCAATTTTCAAGGACACTGACAGTGAAGAATGAAAAATACATACATTCAATTATCTTGTCCAGTCATCTTTTAGAGCCTGTTTATTGACTTCATATAATAAAATAGCAAATTAAAAAATACCACAACAACTACTGAAACACAACACATCTTAATATACAGTAGTACTTCTGGAGTAGGAAAATTACACTTTTTTTCAAACTTCCTGCAGAAATAACAATACACCTACAGCATTTTAACACCTTTAACACTTTTTAACACTCTCTTATTTTAGTCTAATTAGCACTAGTTGTAAACAACATATGTAAGCACAAACACACACACACATAAGAATATATGTATACACACACAAAGGGATGAATGAAGCATCTATACTGTTTCCTGAAAATGTATCAGTTTCCACACAAAAAAAAAAATTGTTAGTCAACTATCAATGTCTGCTATGAATTAGTCTCCATTTAGTCTCAATTTTCAAGGACACTGACAGTGAAGAATGAAAAATACATACATTCAATTATCTTGTCCAGTCATCTTTTAGAGCCTGTTTATTGACTTCATATAATAAAATAGCAAATTAAAAAATACCACAACAACTACTGAAACACAACACATCTTAATATACAGTAGTACTTCTGGAGTAGGAAAATTACACTTTTTTTCAAACTTCCTGCAGAAATAACAATACACCTACAGCATTTTAACACCTTTAACACTTTTTAACACTCTCTTATTTTAGTCTAATTAGCACTAGTTGTAAACAACATATGTAAGCACAAACACACACACACATAAGAATATATGTATACACACACAAAGGGATGAATGAAGCATCTATACTGCTTCCTGAAAATGTATCAGTTTCCACACAAAAAAAATAATTGTTAGTCAACTATCAATGTCTGCTATGAATTAGTCTCCATTTAGTCTTTTCTATTTACAGGGTTCAATAAAATATAATGAATACTTTTATTCAGCAAGGATGCAACAGTAAAAACATTTATTGTTACAAATTTGATTTGAACTTTCTGTTCATCAAAGAATCATGACGAAAATGTATCTGAGTTTCCACAAAAATATTAAGCACAGCTGTTTTCAGCATTAATAATAATAAGATGAAGAAGACATTTTCTTGAGCAGCAAATCAGCATATTAGAACGATTTCTGAAGGATCATGTGACGAAGACTGAATAATGATGCATCACAGGAATAAATTACAATTTAAAATATATTTAAATATAAAATGTTTAAATTGTAATATTATTTAACAGTTTTACTGTTGTAACTCTTTTTTTGATCAAATAAATGCAAACTTGATAAGCATACGAGACAAATTC